TTAGCCATTGTCTCCTGTTATTACACAGTCCCACATTTCTGCCTCTCGCAATCAACTCCTGGGAAAAAGAAAGGTGCTGTACTGCAAATCTTAGCACGCTCAAAGTCCCCCACTGGCCCTCCCAAACCATGATTTTGACAAAATGAAACATGAATATCCCCCCTCCCCCTTTTCTATTTCTTTTAAAAAACTTCTCACATTGCAACACCTCTTTCCGGATGCTGCAGGATTCGCAGTTACTCATTTGGTGCACAAAAAGCTCTGCCTGTGCACAAACCATTGTGGCCACAGGCCAGGGAAACTGCACTCATCCTGGGGGCACTGTTCCCCACATAGGAAATACTCGGTGTGAAGAGCCCTCAGCCAAGGCGTTTGCTCTCCATCCCATTCAGTAGATGCTGACCCGTAAAACATGACCTGTGTCATATCCCGAAAACACAGAGAATGACAGATTTCCATGCTGAAGTAGGGATGGAATTTGGGAAGGATGACAAGGAAATGAAGAAGAAACGTTCTCTCAGCACTGTGAAACAGCCCCATGTGCAAAGCTTTCACATGCCGGGAGATCCCCAACATGTGCCGGAGCTGATGGGTCACAGAGACGGCCGAGTACCTCCTTGGCAGGCAGCAAGGAAGGCATGGGGACATGTCCCAGGAAATCAGTAAGTGAAAGCCATGTCCACCATCCACCAGCACAGAGTGGCCGAACCGCCACCCTCAACGCAGCAGTCGGGGAAAAAGCTCTGCCTCCCCACCCCGATGCCCTCCTGCACCCCACCAAGGGTTTTCCCTGGGTGCTGGCACCACCACGGCATCCTGCTCCCCGGCGCCACGGCCCCAGGCGTTAATAGAAACCAAATTTACGACGCTGTCCCATGTAGTCATGCGGAGCTGAAGTCATCTAATGGTTTTCTGGTTTTCTTTTTTAATTTACTTTCTTCGGGTTTTTTTTCCTTTTCCTTCCCCTCCCCCCTTGCTTTCCAAGCATATGCTGAACAGCAGCCTACTGCCGCGTGCAGACATCTGTGCTGCAGCCAGCCCCGGCCCCGGCAAGCCACCGCAGACTCTCCTTTTGAAGCCCTAATGGAGTTTTCTCCAGCAGTGTTCTCCCCCTGCAAGTCCAGGAGCTGGAGACGGTAGGAAGGGCTTTAAACCCACTATTCCTCTCATCGCAGGAGGCTCGGTGGTTACTCCTACTACGAACCCCCCTTGCTGCGCAGCTGGTCGGTCATTGAGCTCCTTGGGCATGGCATGAACATGCACGTGGGAAAATCCCCCCCCGAGCTATAGGGAAGAGGTCGCCAGGGATGTGCCTTTAAAATATCACTGTAAGGATATTGCAATTCCTTCTCTCTCACTGCAGACTCCCCTAGGAAGAGACCCCAGGGTTTAGGGAATGGGGGTGAAGGGGACGATGCCCGAAGGTAAGCAGATAGGGGCGTGGTGGATGTTAAGTGACATATCTTGTCCACACAAAGGAAAACAAAATCCAAATAAAGTGACAATATGGCCTTTAATGGGTCCATTTGACCCCTCAATACCCCTATGCAGCAATTCTTCTGAAAAGAAATCAAGGCCATTTTAATTCAAACTGGAGGAGAAACAGATCAAATTTAACAAAGGCCGTTTTAATACCAATGAGGCTGCTCCCAGCTCCGCCGTTTTAATACCAATGAGGCTGCTCCCAGCTCCGCTAATGCACTTGGTCACGGGGGCAAACACCTCCCCAGCCTCCCCCTGCTCAAGGTTAGGACCGAGCACTCACTGGCAACAGACACACTCGGATGGCTTCTGTAAGGGAAGGATGTGTCCCAGGATTAATTCACATTATGAAATGACCAAGAAAAAACCAGCTAGTCCTGGAAGAGAAGAGCCATTTGGCTTCTTAAAGGAAAAACACCTTTTTTTTGGCATGGGAAATCCAGATTTGGGCTTGGTGACCCCTCCCTCAGCACAGCTCCAGCAGCGAGCTCGCGGCACAGTCCTTCCCAAGCTCTGCTTATGTCCCCTCTCCAGCCATCCACACAGCAGCAGGAGGTTGGAAAAGACAACAAAACCAACCCAGCTGCTGATTTCCCACTGCAGAAGGGCACTTGGTGGTGGAGCTGGGTCCATGGGGTGCAGGATTTGGGTCACAGACCTTGGAACAGCCAGTGAGACCCTTGCAGAGCCATCAAATTGCCATATCCCACCAGCTCCCTGTCTTGGAGGCTCCCTGCCAGGAGAGGAGTGTCTCCACTTTGGCCAAATCTCTCGTTTCTGTTCTGCAATGTATTTTACAATGACCACTGCGGGTCCACGGGAACTCAGCAGGGTCTACAGATGGTCAAAGCCCAGCATCAAGTAAGGTACTATATCCTATTTCAAATCACCTAACATAGGGGTATTTTCGTATAAAACTATCTCAAATATTAGGAAGTGGTTTGTGGGAAATTCTACTGAGAATATGTTGAAAGATACACAGAATTAGAAATGCACAGATACGGAAGTTGGACAGAAACAATGCAAACCAACCAAACAGCTCCAGATGCTGTTTGGATGGGGTGTGTTGTTCATACTAGAATCCCTATTCGCTTCCTTCTAGTTTGCTAAGACATAGGCTTTACCATCAAAAATTCTGCGTTAAAGAAGGGCAGAGGTAGAAGTAGCTGTCTAAAGCAGCATAAATAAAAGGCAAAGAAAAAGATGGCTTATTTTTGGAGGACAAGGAGAAGGCCCAGTCTGCTGTCAACCAATAAACTACACTTTGATAGGAGCATTTTGGGGATCTTGCAAGAACTGAGAAGAGGAACCACTTCTCATCAGTGTTCCTGATCAGAAAACTCATCCCATTACCTAGCATAACCCACCCAGTACAATCTCAAACTCTGTGCCCAGGCCTTGAGCAATCAGAGCAGGCATGCAGAAACCGGAATGACAGCCCCAGCTACTGCACAGCATGACTCCAGGCTGAAAATGCTTTTGCATAAGACTCGCTGGGGACTTCTGGGCAGGAGATGCCCACAGGGATACCGAGGCTTAGGGTAACTGCTTGACCCATCACTCCTTGCCACGGACATTGCCGTCAGCCTCCAGAAGCTCCCATTAGCCTCTTGGGCCAAAAGGAGCAACTGGTTTTGATCAAATTAACCAAACATTCAGCCATCAAGCATGGTGCATGCATTAACTTCATGGTTCAAAACCCCCCAAATCCTCTGCATC